CGCGGCGCCTCCCGCTCCCCCGCTCACCCAGCCCTCCTCCCCCCCACCCCAAAATGAGGAAACGGAGCAACTTGTTCCAAGTTGTGCAGCCAGGGCTGCCTCGGGGTGCGCAGCCAGCGCGCGGGGGCCCTCCTGGGTGTGGGCGCGGGGCGCGGCCCGGGGGCGCCCCCTGAGCAGGTGAGCGCGGTGGCAGGGGGGTGAGGGGAGAGACCGCGGGGCAGTGGCGGGGTGTGGGGGGGAACCCCGAGGCCTCCGGGGGCGTCCCGGGCGTGCGGCGGAGGGGCCAGTGTGAGCGCGAGTGTGCGCGTCCGGCGTGCGCGGCGGGTACGCGGCTGGGGTAGCGGGTGGTTAGAGGCGATCGGGCGCAGCAGGGTGGGGGTATTTTTCTGGGTGCGAGTGTGCGCGTCTGCAAGCTCCCGGGTGTGTGTATCCGCGCGTCCACGTGGAGGGATGTTCGCGTGTGGCCGAGATGCGTGTGCGCGGCCCTGCGTGTAGCTCTGCGTGCCCTGGTGGCCCAGTGTCTGGCGCCCAGCGTCTGGCGCCCAGGTGTTCAAGTGTGGGTCTGTGTGTGTTGGGGGGGGGGGACAGGTACACACATTTCTGGCCATCTGAGAGTCTGTCCGTGTGCACCCATGTGTAGAAGTGTATACACCTGTCTCTAGGTGAACGTGCTTTTGCTTGCATACCCGCGTGCCTGTGGGTACTTGTGTCCACCTGTGTCCAAGCCCCATGTGTTTCTGTGTGTGCTCGTGTGTACATGGATCAGTATGCGTGTGAATACTCATGGCGCTGGGGATTTATGGGGGGCAATACTGGAGGGGCAGAGGCTCATCCCCTCAACCAGTCCCACTGCCCAGCCACCTGCTGTGGGGTCCAAGGAGGAGAAAAGGGGTGGGAAAGACCCTTCCCCAGCAGCAGTAAGAGACCGCATGTCTATCCTAGGTTGGCATTGGAATTGGGGGGCATCAGAGAGGCTAGTTGACGGCCAGAGAAGCCCAGCAGGGCTGCATGCCCCCTCCCCCGACCCCCTCCCAGCCCCCACCCTAGGTTCAGAGATACTTGGGAATGACCTTGAATCATCCTCTGTTTCCTTGCCCTGCCCCTGCCCACTTACCAGAAAAGAGGAACCAAGCTCAGTTAGGTGGCACCATGTTTCCCACCCACTGTGGGGCTGCTGGAGAGCCTGAGCCAGGCGCTCCACCCCTCCCCACCCTATGGCCACTTGCTCGGTGCCCACCTTGTGCATCCGTTGCCCTTCCGGGACAATGGCGGGGCTAGACTCTGGTTTCCTCGCTGATGTTCCATGGCTGCAACTCTGATAAGGAACTCCTGTGGGTAAAGACCGCCTCCCCAGAGGGGCTTGGGGAGCCACCACCTGGAACCCCCATGGGGATGCCCTCCGGTACTTGCCTCCACCTGGCCTGGGCGGGCAGTGGTTAGTTAGTAATTGCCCCGGGCCCCAGCCTGCCTCCAATCTGGGCTCTCCAGCTGGTCTCTGCCTGCCCCCAGGTGAGCCCTCGCTTCCTCCGCGCCTGGCACCCCACGTTCATCTCAGCCAGGATGCCAACGGTGAGTACCCCCAACCCGGGTGCCTGTGTCCTGGGCCGTCCCCCACCCAGTGCACACCCGCGGGACCTCAGCCCCATGGGGGGGGGGGCGCTGTACCTGTGACTCCAGCCCCCTTCAGCCAGTGCTGTACACTCTTTCACGATCACCTGATGCTACATTCCTGTCACCTTTTCTTCCTGACCTTCTGCTTTGGGCCCCCGGGTTTGCGCCTGATAACTTCTGCCCAGGCTGCTCCCTCTTGATTTCTGTTCTGTCTCTGCCTTGCTGTCTTTTGCCCAATTTCCGTTTCTCTCTCTCCCTGGGCCTCCCCTTCATGCCCCTTGCCCCTCCCCCATCCCTCCCGCCCGGCCCCAGAGGCGCTGGGCCCCAGGCACCCAGTGCATCACCAAGTGTGAGCACACGCGCCCCAAGCCGGGAGAGCTGGCCTTCCACAAGGGCGACGTGGTCACCATCCTGGAGGCCTGTGAGGTGAGTGGCGGCCGCCGGGCCTGGGCGCGCTTGGGGAGGGGTGTCTCTGCCGGGAGCCCGGACCCCGCCGCCCCACACCCACCGCCGGCTCCCTCCCCGGTAGAGTAAGAGCTGGTACCGTGCCAAGCACCACGCCAGCGGGCAGGAGGGTCTGCTGGCGGCCGGGGCGCTGCGCGAGCGAGAGGCGCTGTCGGCGGACCCCAAGCTCAGCCTCATGCCGTGAGTCTGGGGACGCCCCCCCGCCACCCCCCGGGGCTGGGCGGCAGGAGGGCCCGGCCCGCCTGGCCCAGCGTGCCCTTCCGCAGGTGGTTCCACGGGAAGATCTCGGGCCAGGAGGCCGTGCAGCAGCTGCAGCCGCCCGAGGACGGGCTGTTCCTGGTGCGCGAGTCGGCGCGCCACCCCGGCGACTACGTGCTGTGCGTCAGCTTCGGCCGGGACGTCATCCACTACCGCGTGCTGCACCGCGACGGCCGCCTGACCATCGACGAGGCCGTGTGCTTCTGCAACCTCATGGACATGGTGGAGGTGCGGCCGCCGCCGGGCCTGGCGCCCCAGAGCCGCATGGTCTGCACCGTGGAGGTGGAGGGACCCCAGCCCCCCCCCCCATTCTGGCAACCGGGTGGGCCCGGGACACCCACTGCTGCACGCACAGTCCCGGTGTGGGAAGGAGGGGCTAGTCTCCGTGGACCACCAGCCCCACAGCTGGTCTGAGTCCTCTGGGTCCACCTCTAGGGAGGGACTGGGGTGGCTCCTCTGGGGACCCCTGGGAACCTCCACGTTGACACTGATCCGGAGACCACCGCCCCACCTTCCCCAGGATCCTCCTGTTTCCTAGCCTGCATCCTTTCCGTTCCCATGGAAACCAGCCCAACTCCTCCGGTGGGAAGCAAAGCCCCCTTCTCCCCAGCTCCTGCCCACCCCCTTCAGAGAGCCTCCCTGGGGAGGGCACAGAAGGCAGGGGTTCCCTGCACCCCTGGCGGGGCTCACGGCTCCCTCTGCCCCGCCCCCACCCTGCAGCACTACAGCAAGGACAAGGGGGCCATCTGCACGAAGCTAGTGAAACCCAAGAGGAAGCAGGGCACCAAGTCGGCAGAAGAGGAGCTGGCCAAAGGTAGGGGCCCCCGCCCCTCCTCATGGGGCCCGTGGCCAAAGCCACATTGCACAAGCATGGCTTGCTGTGCCCGGCACTGCGAGCGAAAGACCTGAAGCAGCGCTCGGGTGGGGCAGAGGTGCCCACGGACGCCCATCGGCCCACGAGGAGCAAATTCGGGTGACACCTGCTCTGCTTCCAGGCCCCCATCATCCACCGGATCGCCTGGGCCAGAGGCCCAAGCCCGAGCCCCAGCCTAGCCTCAGACCCTCCCACCAGACCGCCTCCTCTCTGGAGAGCATTCCCCTTCCACCGGACCCCTACCTCAGTGTCCCCAGAGGTGACTTTCTATCATGAAAATTCACCCACATCACTCTCCTGCCTTCTAGAACCTTCCCTTGTGGCTGAGCCATCTTAGTTCATCTACAAGACCCTTCCTCCATGCTCCCTACTTGCCTCCTTGTTTTCCTCTCGCCTCTATGCTATTGTGCATTCTGTTCCCTCCACCCGAAGTGCCCCTCCCGCCCCTGAGTAATGAAATCCTCGATGCTCAAGGCCCCGAACAAATGCCCCCTCCCACGGCCACTCCTCCTGAACCTGATGATCGTGTCTGTCTCTCCCAGGGAAATCTGGACGTCTCAGGGATGGCCCCAAGGGGAGGCTGGTGTCCCCATGCTTGATCATAACTAAGGGCTTGTAATTTGGAGGGGGGGCTTTGGGCAGGAAGGGGAAGGAGCCTATGGAACCTACTAGAGAGAGGACGGGAGAACATGGGCATGTTTGAGACAAGGAGTCAGGGAGGCTGGACCCCAGATGACCACTTAGAATGCTGGAAGATTCTGGAAGATTCTGGAACCTTTGCCAGAAGATTCCAGAAGCTTTACCAGTCTCCATGTCTGTTGTATTTTTTGCTGTGTGTCCTGGGTGGCCAGAGGTAAAGGACTATAAAGGGAAGAGCCCCTGGGGTATTTGGAGGGACAGTCTCCAGGTAGAAGAGAGAAGGGCAGCCCTAAAGGGTTTGCCAGCGCCACGCCCTGGACCCGATGGGGCATTCCTGGGAAGCCATGCTGGGGTCCATCCCCCACCCCATAAGCCCCTTTCCTCAGGTCATCCTGGGGTACACAGGCTCTGTTGCTTTCCAGCACTTGATAAGCAGGCCCAGGAGTGGGGTGTCTCGGACAAGCCCTTGACCATTGCTGGGAGCAGCTGAATGTGTGCCCCTGGCCGGGGCGCTGTGGGGGACACCACCCAGCCTCTTGCCAGGTGGAGCCCGTTCCCCTCTGACCCGATCCCCACCCCACAGCTGGCTGGTTACTGAACCTGCAACATTTGACGCTGGGTGCACGGATTGGAGAGGGTGAGTTTGGAGGTGAGTGGAGGCCTGGGTAAGAGGCTGAAGGAAGGGGGGCGTGTTTGGGTTTAGGAGTCATGAGGGGCGAGTTAATTCACACCCATGTTAGCACCAGCTCTGTGAGGGGGGCTGACGTCGGCTCAGGTGGGCACTCGGTGATCAGTGATCGTGCTTGATGCCTTCCCACCTCCAGGCCCTGTGCTCGGAATGCCACTCCTGGAAATTGTCACTTGGAAGGCTCTGGGGCTTGCTTAGGTCAGGGGTTGGCCTACCTTCTCTGTAAAGGGCCTGAGTGCACCTATTTTAGGCTTTTCAGGCCAGACGGTCTGAGTCAGTGTTCAGCTCTGCCTTTGTAGCAGGAAAGCAGCCGCAGACACAGGTAAATGAATGGGCGGGGCCGTGTGCCAATAAAACTTTATTTGTAGACACTGAAATTGGAACTCCATGTAATTTTCATTTATTGCAAAGTAGTGTTCTTCTTCTGATTTTTTTCCCAAACATTTAAAAAGGTAAAAACGGCTCAGAACTTAGGGGCCTTAACTGACTGAGCCACCCACACGTCCCTGAACTTAAGGGCCTTGCAAAAGCGGGGTGCCCTCTGACAGGATTGGATCTGGCCCCCGAGCTGAAGTTTGCAGACCTGGGTTCAATGCTTCTCTTTGATCAGCTTGTAGGGGTGAGGGGTTTTCCAGGCCTGGGGCCCCACAGCAGTGTTGGGGTACGTGGGGGTCGGGGTAGGTGGGTGTTCCCAACTGTCTGTCCCCATACCCGTTCTCCCCCCCAGCGGTCCTGCAGGGTGAGTACCTGGGACAGAAGGTGGCCGTGAAGAACATCAAGTGCGATGTGACAGCCCAGGCCTTCCTGGATGAGACGGCGGTGATGACGTGAGTCCGGGGGCGGGGTGGGGGTGAGGAGGGCATCCCGGGGTCGGGGTCCCAGCCGTGCCTTCATGGCCCACCTGCCGGCCCCCCAGGAAGATGCAGCATAAGAACCTGGTGCGTCTGCTGGGCGTCATCCTGCACCAGGGGCTCTACATCGTCATGGAGCACGTGAGCAAGGTGGGGGTGGGGCCTGAGGTGCCATCGGGGCCTGGGGGGCCCTCTGAGCAGCCTCGAGCCCCCCAGGTCCATCTCCCTCCCCCGCAGGGCAACCTGGTGAACTTTCTGCGCACACGAGGCCGGGCCCTCGTGAGCACCCCCCAGCTCCTGCAGTTTTCCTTGTGAGTGGGGCTCCCGGCGGGGGGCGGGGAGGGGGGGCCTTCCAAGCTCAGGGGGACACTGAGGCATGGAGCAGGACAAGCCCAGCCTTGGGAGTTTGCACCCTTGCAGCCACACACCCCCTCGGGCCCTGCCCCCTCCCCAGGCACGTCGCCGAGGGCATGGAGTACCTGGAGAGCAAGAAGCTGGTGCATCGAGATCTTGCCGCCCGCAATATCCTCATTTCCGAGGACCTGGTGGCCAAGGTCAGTGACTTCGGCCTGGCCAAAGCTGAGCGGAAGGGGCTGGACTCAAGCCGGCTACCAGTCAAATGGACGGCGCCCGAGGCTCTCAAACATGGGGTGAGCCCCCTCCGCCCCTGGGACCCTTGAAGCCCTGGTTCCGCCTGCTCTGTGACCTTGGGCACATCTCTTATTCTCTCGGGACCTCTTTCAAGGGAATGGCTCTGCCACCCCAGTGAGTGCTTGGCCCACGGTAATTCCTTTTAGCCCGCGTCTGGCCTCTCCCTTGTGTGACCCTCTCTGGGCCCCCATTTCCCCATTTCTGAAACAGACGGGCTCTGTGCTGGGGCCAAGAATAACAAGGCCCCCTCCCTGCACTGGGTCTGAGTCCCACTCGGCTGGGGGAGGCTCAGAGGGAGCAGTCTGTTGGGAGGAGACCAGAGAGTGAAGGTCAGCCCAGGAGGACTTCCTGGAGGAAGCAGGGGCTGGCGCAGAAGCCCTTCGGGGCCCCTCCTCACCCTGATCCTGGGCCCCACAGAAGTTCTCCAGCAAGTCGGATGTCTGGAGTTTCGGGGTACTTCTGTGGGAGGTGTTCTCATATGGCCGGGCTCCGTACCCCAAGATGGTGAGTGGAGTGTGCGGGGAGGCACTGGGCCCCCTGCGGGTCTGGTGACTGTGGCCCTGACCGAAGCCATGCCGGTGTGCACTCTGCCCACAGTCGCTGAAGGAGGTGTCCGAGGCCGTGGAGAAAGGGTACCGCATGGAGCCCCCCGAGGGCTGCCCGGCCCCCATCCATGCCCTCATGGGCAGCTGCTGGGAGGCTGAGCCTGCCCGCCGGCCGCCCTTCCGAAAACTGGCAGAGAAGCTGGCCCGGGAGCTGCGCAGCGCGGGCGCCTCGGCCCCGATGGGGGGCCAGGACGCGGACAGTTGTCCCTTGCCCCGAGGCCAGGAGCCCTGACCCTGCCCAGTGGGGCCTCGGGCCCCAGAGGAGAGAGTGGAGGGCGCGGGGTGGGGCAGGGGCCAAGGCCTGAGGAGGGTCAGGGCCGGTGAGCTGCCCATCTGGCTCGCAGCAGGGCAGGCCCTCGTGGGGGACTCCAGGCAGCCCGTGGACACCACAGACCGGGGAGGCGAGGGATCAGCGCCTCCATAAAGCCTGGTTCCAAGGACTGTGGGTGTCTGAGTCTCTCTGCAACCCTTGGCGTCCCTCACCCCAGGGGCTTAACACCAGGGGATCCCCCCGCCGCCATCGCTTAGCCCAGGGCGATCCACCTGCCCGTTGTCTGCCCACTGAGGGGCCCACCCAGCCGGGATCCTGTAGCTGCCGCGGGGACACAGGTCCCCAGGGATGGAGCGAGGAGAACCCCCAGGATCACAGCCACCCGCACGGACCTACTTACCGTATCATCCATGGTTCCCGCTGTGGCCCCCCCATGGCTGCCGTATTCAACCCTTGGGGCCCCAGGCTCAGAGGACCGCGGGAGGGTGCCAGTGGCCACGGAGGCCCGAGTTCCACGCCTCCACCCCCTCTGCCCCAGCCTTGCCCCTCAGGGTGGATTGTGGGAGCCCAGGGAGGGTCCAGTCCAGCCACCAGACTGACCCAGTGACTCCGGGGGAGACTGGCTGAAAAGCGCCGGCCCTGCCCCTCTTGTCCACACCCACACAGGGGCTGGGGCCCGGGCTTGCACCCCCGAGTTCTGAGCTTTGTGGCCCTGACCTGTGGTGACCAACCATCCCGAACTGAGAGCATTTCTAGGATGGGGGGACATTAGTGCTAAACGTTAGTGCATCTGGTGAACTGGGGAGTTGGTCCCCCCACCTGGGCTCCAGCAGCCCCCTCTACAATCAGGCGTCTTTTCGGGGTGGGGTTGGGGATTGAAGGCTCACACCAGCGCAGGGCTCAGCGCATACAGCTGGTGCTCAGTTACTGCTGCGTCTGACAGTCACCCCCTCTCAGTTGATGTTTCCAGCCAGCCAGCTTCTAGGATGCCTGGAAGGTCTCTGGCCAGGCGGGGGTGGCCCTCACCCCAGGAACCCCAAAACTGGGGCTGGGGAGGGGACACCAGACCATAGCACACCCGCCCCCTTTGGCTGACCCACCCCCGCCTGAGCACAGCCTCAGCCGGGGGGGCTCTCCCAAGGTCACACTGACCTCCTGCGGTGCCCCCCCCCCGAAGCCCTGCCCACCCTCTGGTCTCAGTTTCCCCACCAGCACCTGAAGGGGCTTCGGGATTCTTCCTGGGGGAGAAATGAAGGATGGGAGGCCCGTGGGGCTGAGAGTGGCCTGACCCCCACCTAATCCAGCTGGAGGGGACTCGTAGCTCCACCCCACCCCACCCTTAATCCTGTTCTCTAAGCTGACACAGCGTCTGCACCCGAATCAGCCGCACCCGCTAAGCCACCAAAGCCCCTGTGCCTAACGCCCAGATCCCTCCTGCAGCCTCTTAACCCACCCGGGGCCAATTAGCTAATTGGGGCCTGAGAACAGAACAGCTCCTAGTAATGAAGCAATTAGGGACTTAGAGACCACCACCTCCCCGCTCCATGTTGCAGGCCTCGTACCCCGGCCCCAGAGCCCCGAGCCCACCTCACAGACAGGGCAGCTGGGCTTGGAGGGTCCCAGGGAGCCTCGGAAAGCACCAGCGACCCCGCCCGCCCGGGCTCAGGGTGGCTGGGGCCTCCTTGCCCGGCTCCCCCCACCCCTGGGCGCTGAGCCCCTGATCCCCCCTCCCGGCCCTCAGCGGGAAGCACAGCTGGGTCCTCATCCAAGGCCATCAGTGCACGCAGTTGGACGCCCCTCCAGGGCCTGGCCCCCCTTCACTGGGGAGGGGGGTTGCACAAGCGGGCCTCTCCCTACAAAGCCAGCATTCCAGCAGGTGCCTCCCACCTGATCCCCGGTCCATACACAGGCCTGGGCCTCCCTCCTGTCCTCTGTGTCACTAAATCCATCAGACATTTTCTTGGCCTTACCTTGCCCCCCACCCCCACACTCCCCTCCTCTTGGGCCCCAGGCTCTTTGGGTGGGGGCAGGGGTGGGCAAACCAGCCTCAGGGGCTTCCCCTGGAACCTGCTGTGGCTCTTGGGCCACTGCCTCTGGGAGTCTTGTCATCCACCTGTCCCCAAAACGGGGGCCTGGGTATCGCCGGTTCCTCACTCTTCCGCAAACTTTCTCCCCGAGGATTGTTCCTCTGTCCCCCTCTCCTCCCATGACCATCCCACAGCCCTTGCCCTGATCAGGCCTCTAGCCTCCTCCCAGCCTCCCATCTTGCCCACAATAGATACTCCTCCAAAATGCCATCTGACTGTGTCCCTCCCCTGCTCCACAACCTCCAGAATCTTAGCCTTGCACTCCATCCCCCATTCTGAAGACTTTCTCTAAAAGAGCAGCCCACCCTCTGTCCCCCCCACCCCGTCCCCCCCTGCTTGAGTTTTCTCACTAGCCTTATGACCACCTGACACCCTCTATGTCTTATTTGCTGATTGTCTATCTCCCTTACTAGCATGTCAGCTCCAAGATTTGTGTCTGTTTTGTTCACTGCTGTGAACAGAAGCTGGTATACAGTGAGTGCTCAATAACATTCATTGAATGAATGAAGAGTGAACTTCTATCCATTCCTCAAAACCCAGCGAAAATGCCCCCTACTCCCTGGTCAGCTCAGTGTCTGGGGGAGCCGACTGGAACTGCCTTCACCTGTCAGGACCTCGGCTTCCCCCACCCCTGTCACCACCGGTGTGTCTAAGAGGACCTTTTTCTGGCCCCAGCTGATAAAAACAGTAGCAGCGGACATTCACTGAGCACCTACTGTATGCCAGTCACTGTGCAATGCTCTCTACTTTCATCCCCTCCTTGCCCCATGAGAGCCCCACCAGGTAAGCCCTGGTGTCACCCTTCTACAGCTAGGGAAACTGAGGCCCAGAGAGGGGGAGGCCCTTGTTGGTGTCCTACTGCGAGGGGAGGTGGACCCAGGCCGATGGTCACACCCCTCTGGAGCCCCAGCCGTCCTCCCCCATGCCCGCCCTCTGCAGCCAGCGCCCGGGCGGGAGGGGCCACCTCAATTAATCACCTCGCTCTAATCTTCCCCTCACCAGACCCCAACCCGCTCCCCGCTTGGTTCTGGCAGGGCCAGGCCAGCAGCAGACGGGGTGCTAGGCCCGCTGGGGCCGGAGCTGCGTGGATACTGGGGCTGTCGAGGGGCTGCTGGGGGCGGTGAGTACTGGGCAGGTGGGCACAGGCGGGCACCAGTGGGAGTTGGGGGTGCAGAGAGCCCCCCAGGATGGAGGACTATGGGGGCAGTGTCCCAGCCTCCTGCCTTCCTGGGGGTCCCAGGCACACAGAGAGGTGGATGGACAGACAGCCCAAAGCTGAGCTGCAGGTCGATGGAGGCCGTCAGGGAGAGCTCGAGTGGGAAAGTGGGAATAGAGGTGGAGGGACAGACACACAGGGAGAAGAGGAGACGCACGGAGAGCGAGAGCATCCCTGGTGGACGGGGAGGCGGGGAGGCTGAATGAATGCAGGCCCCAGCGCGTGTCTCCCCGGCGCATCTCACCCCAGGCCCGGCAGAGGCTGGGGGCTCCCCTGCCCTCCCAGCTGGCAGTCCCTGCTGCTGTCTCACTGCCTTCTGTCCTGCTGCCGCCCGGCCAGGTGGGGGTGCGGAGAAGCCATGTTCCTGAGCCCCTGTGAGGGGCCGGCGGCAGAGGGTGGGGGGCCGGGCCCGGGCGAGGAGGCCCCCAAGAAGAAGCACCGGAGGAACCGCACGACCTTCACCACGTACCAGCTGCACCAGCTGGAGAGGGCATTCGAGGCCTCCCACTACCCAGACGTTTACAGCCGCGAGGAGCTAGCGGCCAAGGTGCACCTGCCCGAGGTGCGCGTGCAGGTGAGGGCACCCCACAGCCCAGGGAGGGAGCCAGAGCCGGATCGGGACCCTCCCGGTGTGTAGGCAGCAGATCTCCAAGCTGGGAAGGCTTCCCAGAGGAGGGGATGTGGGACTGGGACCTTGGTGTTTGAGTAGAAGTTTTCCAGTTAGAAAGCAGAAAGGGTTGGGGCATCTGGCTGGCTCGGCAGGTAGAGTGTGTGACTCTTGACCTCGAGGTTGTGGGTTCGAGCCTCACGTTGGGTGTAGAGATTAAAAATAAAATCTTAAAAACAGGGAGAGAAAGGAGAACAGGTGATCTCTAAGCATCCAGGAGTGTGCGCTCAGCTGTGGAGGGGTTACACCGGAGGCGTTTCCAGCCGGTGCGAAGCGGGGGGACGGAGAGGCAGAGTGCAGCCGAGACAGAGCTTGTGAAGGGCGTCCAGTGCCGAGCCGAGCGGCTCAGACCCGGTGCCCGGGGCCAAGAGAGGCCGTGGAGCCTGAGGGGCTGGGCACAGTGGTGAGGAGAGCTTAGCTTCAGGAGACTTGGGGCTGATTTGATGGGGGCCCTGGGGGGATCCTTCGCTCGAGGCAGGTAACACTATGTTGACACTGCAGCAGGTGGGAGTCAGGCTGGACAGCAGGCAGAACCCTGCAAAGCTGGGAGCCCCAAAGGGACACAGTGGGGTGGGGAAGAGTGGGCTGGCTCCTCCCCACGGGCCCTGAACCGGGAGCACCCCTCTCACTACCTCCAGGTGTGGTTCCAGAACCGCCGGGCCAAGTGGCGCCGCCAGGAGCGTCTGGAGTCAGGCTCCGGGGCTGTGGCAGCCCCAAGGCTCCCCGAGGCCCCAGCACTGCCGTTTGCCCGCCCCCCAGCCATGCCACTGCCCCTGGAGCCCTGGCTGGGCCCCGGGCCCCCGGCCGTGCCAGGCCTCCCGCGCCTCCTGGGGCCGGGGCCTGGGCTGCAGGCATCCTTCGGGCCCCATGCCTTTGGTCCGGCCTTCACAGAGAGCTTCACCCTGGAGGAGGCATCCCTGCGGCTGCTGGCCAAGGAGCATGCACAGGCTCTGGACAGGGCCTGGCCACCGGCCTGAGTCTGGGGCCCAGCTAGCCCTCTCATCTCGGCCTGTCCGTGGCCACCCATGCCGGTCCCCTCAACCACCTCCTCAGCCTGCCCTGCGGGGAGACTGGTACCGTCTCAGGAAGGAAACGGCCTGGCCTGGGGCCTCAGCCTCCCCGTCTGCCAGACGGGCGTGGGGTGGATGGTGAGGCTGGAACAGTAAGGCTGCCATCACAAGCCACTCTGTGCCCAGGTCCCCCGCCCGCGCCTTGTCCTTCACAGCCAAGCCCCGGCTCTTGGGCCTCCTGCTCTCTGAGAAATTCCCTGCTTTCACTGCGTGCTCCCATGTGCCTGTCCTGGGCCCATCGTTTTACCCCTTGATGACCACTCAGCTGGACTCGAGGACAAGGAGGCCATCGAGGGCAAGGAGCAGGGTGTGACCAGGCTTGGGGCTGGCCTAGTGTCAGGATGACAGGAGACCTCCCCATGGGACGGGGCAGCGTGGGTCAGGACAGGAGGGGAGGGGCTCAAGGGCAGAAGCTGCAAGTGACCAGCACCCTGCCTTTGAGCTCTGTCCATGAAGTGACCATAGGCTCACTTCTGAGTCCTCACACCAGTGCACACCACTGGGGTTCAAGCTAGTCTGCTCTTCTCGGTTCACTTGGCATCTCATATGCGAGTCCCATGGCCATGTCTTCTTTACCTTGTGGCAGCTGGGTCAATCGCCTGCCCACCCACCCACCCACACACCATCCATCCACCCACCCACCATCCATCCATCCATCCATCCATCCATCCATCCATCCATCCATCCATCCATCATGTAATGCGGACATGATGGTGAACAGACAAAAATCCCTGCCCTGATGGAGCCGCCACTCCAGTGGGAGAAAGAAGCACAATTAAATAAATACATACGTACATAAAACACCAGCTGGTTATAAGTGCTGAGAAAATAAAACCACAAGAGGCAATCCTGAGTGTGTGGCAGGATTACAGTTTAACAGGGTGCTTGGGGGCCTCTTGGAGGTGACATCAGAGAACTGGAGAAGGTAAAACTGGGAACACCTGCGGGAAGAACCACCCAGGCAGAGGGAATGGCATGTTCAAAGGCCCTGGGGCAGGACCAGCCTGGTGTGTGGGAGGAACCACCAGGTACCCCTGGGGCTGAAGTAGAGTGAGCGAGGTGCCAGCAGGGAGGTGACAGGAGGCAGGTCTGGCCAGGTCTTGTGGCCATTCCAACTTTGTTTCTACCCTGAGAGCCATGGGGATCCATGGGAGGGTTGGGACCTGCTCTGGGCGGGCCACCAGGGAGGGCAGGTAATCCGATTGGCAGAGTCCTCCTAAGAGGATGAGGGCTCTCGGTTTCCTGGGACGAGGCAGAATTAGTCCCCAGCCCCACCCACCCCGCTAGACCAGACAGCACAGAGGAGCCTGGAGGGCCCCTGGTCCAGCCCCCCAGGTGGTGCCCGCATCCCGCCACTCCACCCCCTGCAACTGCATACCCTCTCAGGCCTCACCCCAGGGCCCCACGATCCTTCCCCTAGCCAGGCAGGGCAGAAGCTAGGACTGCTAGGAGCTGGTTCTCACTCAGGCTGTGGGTCAGGTTCCTGGTGCCAAATGCAAGACTCCCGGATGCATTTCCTGGTGGGGTGGGCACGGGGGAGGTTGAGCCCTGGGTACTAGTGGGGTGACAGGAGGACAGTGGGTACACCTAGGTCCTGGGGCTCAACTGGCCAATGCAGAGAACACATGACCTTGGTAAAGGAAGGAAAAGGAAGTCCCTTCCCTCTGGCTGGGCTTGCTAAACTGGGTAGGGGGTGTCAGCCAGGAGTCCTGGGGCCACCCCTGTCCAGAACTACCCACTGGGGCTACAAGGACCCAGAGCCAGAGAGAGCCGTCACCTGGATACCGAAGCCCGAGTCCAGCGACCTGAAGGCAGAGCCCGCCCTGGACGCTTCAGTCTCTCTCTCATGTTCGGATAGTTTGGAACGGGTTTGAGTCCCTTGTGACCGAGATGGCGTGTCTAGAAAAACCTCCCCCTGGAGCCAATGGCCTGAGGCACCCCCCTGCCCGCCCACCCAGACAGCAGCCAGGGCCTGCCAGCGACGGTCCCCCAGGGCCCTGATCCAGCCTCGCCGTGGGGACCAAACAGGCACCAGGTCAGGGGTCTCCTCTGTTCTCAGAAAACCCTGTTTTCTCCAGGAAGATAAAGTCTTCCGTGGGGGCTGGGTGGAGAAGATGTTCTGCGCCGCGGGGGTCCTCCTTCGGGGCCTGGTGAGGCCCCCGGTGGCTGCAGGCGGCCGGCCCCTCCCCGCTAGAACTTCTGGTTCTTGCTCAGACGGTTATGACGCCAGATGTTATGTTTTCGCAGCAGCCGCCAGTAGTCCCGGCTCTCGGGGTCCAGCTCCTCTAGCTTCTTGGGGGGGCCCACGTTCATCTGGAACAGCCTGCCGTGGCGTGGGCAGGAGTCAGGGAGGCAGGGCAGACCCCCAGAGGTCCCCCACCCCGGGCACCGTGGGCAGAGGTGGCAGCAGGCTGGGCCCCCCAGCCACATGGGGGCGGCATGATCCCGGGGCACGCCCTCCCACCCCGAGCTGGGTTCCTGGCTGTGGAAAAGCTGCCCCATCCCAGTGGCACTGGTACTGGAGGTGGGCACACACCAAGTCTTGTGCTGCCTCCTGGCCACTGTCTGTGCCGGCAACACCTCCCCACCCACCCACTCAACCTTTCGGAAGCTTCCCTAAGCTTTAAGGATCAGCACAGGTCAGTGGCTTCAATGTCCTGCTACTGGTCCTGGGGCCAAGAGCAAAATCTTCCCTGTATCCTCCCTGGCCCTGCAAAGGCCGGGATCCATCCCCTCCCTGCCCCATCTCCCTCTATTCTCCACCTTCACGTCCTGCTGTTCTGCTAACAAACCAGGTGCAGTCCTGCCCCAGGGCCTTTGCATGGACTCTTCCCTCTACCTTTAAAGCTCCTTCCACCCACTCAGGTCTTGAGTCACGCCACTCCTCCCCAGGGAGGCCCTATGGAAACCTCAGATCTGAGACCTTGCCCTGGCATGCGCTCTCGGGGCTCTCCAGCCTGTCTCACTCACCACTCGGGGTACTCGGCGTCTGGCTTCAGGACCACGTCCTGGCCCTCCTTGTAGATGTTGACGCCCATGGCATGTGTGGTGAGTCGGACGGGGTCTGTGCACACGTCTGGGTCCTTCAGGGCCTCACTGGCCACTCCACCTTTGCCGCCTTTGCCCCCCTTCATGACTGGGGGGTGGGAGAGAGTCATTTCTGCCAGCTGCGTCCTCGGGAGGCTGGCCTTCCCTTCTGACCCCTCTTTCTCCAGGTGGACCCCGGCCCCTGACTAGACGGTCTGCTGCACCCAAGATGATTTTAAGTGGGACGTGGATACTGCATTAAACACTGACGCTTACAGTGACCAGGTCATTGCTTTCCAATTCTGTTTATCTCACGGAAAAAGGGCTGGTATGCGTCTTGAAGGCCCCACATTTTGTCAATTCCCTCCTTCCAACAAAGGAGGTCACGCCAGGCTATACCCGGGTGATTTTGCCTTTGCTTCAGTGGCTAAACCTCAGCTGGGCCCCACTGCGTCCTCAAAGTTCCGGTGGCGACTTGCTCAAGATCACACAGTGCCTTTAAAAGGCCCAGCCAGGGCTGGAACCCAAGCTCAGGACACCGCCCCCCCCGCCCCGGCCACCGCAAGAAAAACACCCCGCACCTGCGCAGTGAGTCCAATCACGGCCCAGGTACCTCACACTGCGCCTGCGCACATAGCCCAGCGCCTGCCTCTTTGCGCTTGCGCACTGATTCTAGGAAGCACCTCCCCAAGCCAGCGCCTGCGCACTACTAACTCCCCAGTGTCCCAAACCTCTCCCCTCTGGGTCCCTCTTAACCCAGCTCACCCGGTCTCTTGGCATAACCCCGTACCAGGAGCCTTCCAGGCTCGGCAGGGACCGGGAGCTCCCGGGCCCGCCAGCCGGCCCAGGTCCACGTAGCCCCAAAGAGACGTCTGGCCGCCATGACGTATGCTGACTGCCGGCACGTACCCTTTTCCGGGAGACGACAGCGGCCAAGGGGTGCTTGGGAGTTGTAGGCTCCTAGAGATTTCTGGGAAATGTAGTATTCCAGTCTCAAGCGTTCAGGGTGCCTTCTTTAAAACTTTTAGATATCCTGTTACTGTTAAGAGGGGACTTTCGAGATATTTCATTTACTTATTGCCCTTCTTCAGTTATCACTTACTTTAAGATCACGCCTTATGCATTCCTGATTCTATTCAATGAGCAATTAATGAAAGTCTAAAAGTAATTCGGGAATACCTAATAGACTCATTATATCCCAGCCCTTTTGCTAAATCCGTAACCAGCTCGATCTCGTTTAGTCCTCACAAGTAGGAGGTAGGTACTATTATTATCCCCAGTTTAATTGCGGAAGCGAAGCTCAGGGATGGAAAGTTAGGCCAGGACTTGCCATTCCGCCCCGCTACTGTGAGCGAAACCGGAAGTCCGTCTACATTAGGGTCCCTGCGCTGCTTCCGGTGTCTCTCGAGTCGAAAAAGACCGCCCCTCACTTTAATATTTCCCAGTCCCATTTCTTCCCATCTGCCATCCATTGGAATCATGCCCACAGCCGTAGATGGCAGGCAGTGATCACTAATCCCAATTTGTAATTGAGGAAATAGGTCCAGAGGCCAGCCGGGACTCCTACTCTGTGTAAACTGAGGCCCGGGATTCGAACCCTTGATTCCGACACCTAGCGCTCCCGCACGGCGAGGCTAGCTGGGAGAACTACATTTCCCAGCAGGCCCCCGCAAACGCGCGCAAGCCCAGTAGGTCCGAGAGCTGCAAGGACAGACCTGCCGGCGCCGCGGCCGGGAATCGGCGAGCTGCGGCCGGGGGAGGACTGTTCGGCTGGGTGCGTGGGGTTCTGGGGGGGCCTCGCGGTCTGAGGCCACCTCGGTTTGGAAAGTGAGTGTCCCGGCGGGGGCAGAGCGGGGTCTGGAGCTGGCGGCTGAAGAAGGGGGTCTGAAGTCTCGAGGCTGGGGTCTGCGAGAGGACCGGGGTCTTAACTCCTAGCTTTAGGTGGAGTTACGTCTTCAGGCTGGGTTCTGAGGTCCGGGTCAGAGTCCGGGGTTGATCTTGAGCGTGGCATTGGAAGTTTTGAGAGTAGGCTCTGCTTTCTGGCGTCTTGGAGCTCTAGTATTAAGTCTGGGGTCCTGGATCTAGTCTTAGGCTGAGGTCCTGAGTCCGAGGTCTCGGGGACCTGCACCTACCGGGTCTGTATAGTCAGGCTGTGTCTCCAGCCTGGGTTACACGACGCGGTGGGGGGAGACTTGGAAGAACCAAGTCTGGGGGAACAGGGTCCACGGGTGGGGAGAGGCCTGGGCTGACAGGTACAGGGGAGTACTCCGGGGTTCGGAGCCTATGAAGCCACTGTCTTACAACTGCCTGTTCTGCATCTTGATTTCCTCTTCTATAAATTGGAGATCATAGCGGACCCTTCCTTGCAGGGTATGGTGGGGATTAAATTCTGTGTTCTACATGAACAGCACCCACCTAGAGCTTGGCACCGCGTTGGCAGTCAGGAAATCTTATCTTTGAATCTCTCTTTCAGATGTTGGCCTGAGCCTGGGGTCCAGGCATGGAATTCCTGACAACCTCCCAGTCTCCCTCAGGCCCTCCAGCTATGGACTTGGAGGAGCCCAGGGACACAATTTCACCTTCCCAGGACCTCACCCCCAACTGCCAGTGGGACCCGGTGCCGGGACGGTCCGGCAGCCTGAGTCAGATGGAACTCGATGGGCCAAGTGTTGAGGACCTGGTGCAACAGTTTGAGGCTCTGCCTGGTAATCTGGTGGGCTTGTCGCCGGATGGACCTCCCTGCCCCTTGCACGTGGCCACGGGCCACGGCCTGGCCTCCCAGGACGTTGCTGATGCCCATGGGCTCTTGTCTGCCGAGGCCGGCCGGGACGACCTGCTGAGCCTTTTGCACTGCCAGGAATGCCCTCCTTCCCAGTCTTGTCCCAAGGAGCCTCCGGACCCTGCCCCTCGCCCGCTGCAGCCCCCTGAGGACCCAGATGGAGATACCAGTGCCCCGGAATGGGCGGAGGGAGCTTCTGCCGAGCAGGGCGGCAGCAGGAGCTCAAGCAGCTCCCCGGAACCGTGGCTGGAGACGGTACCTCTGGTTGCTCCTGAAGAACCGCCTGCCAGTACCCAGGTAGAGCCTGTCCCGCCCCCCAGGCTGCCTCTGCTGCCAGGAACCAAGCCAGGGGACTCAGTCCTGCCCCTCTTCTGTCTTCTTCCAGAGCCCCAAGACCCTGGCGCCATACCCTGCCCTCCAGGAGGGTGAGTGTCCTGCCCACCCTGGCCCCAGGGACTTAGCAATTTCAGAATCGCCCCAATCAGGCTTCTCCCAAAATGGCATAAAGTTTGCCAGTAAGGAGTTGTTTCTAGAGAGGCTCCGAGGTTGGTTGAGTAGATTCCGGATGGTCTGGGAGGGGAGAGAGAGTGGTGAGAATGTTCTAGAATGAATAGGGGATGGAAGGGCATGTGTGGCATTTTAGCATGGTTCTAGAGCAGGGCTTGGCAAATTACCATCTGCGATCAAATCCAACCCACCTGTTCTGGCATGTCTTGTGGGTTTTACATTTTTAAGTGGTTGGAAAAAAACAGAATAGTATTTCTTGATGCATAAAAACAATGTGCAACTCAAATTTCAGTGTCCAGAAATAAAGTTTTATTGAGACACCGTCATGCCCATTCATTTACGTATTGTCTACCGTGGTTTTCATGTTACAGTGGCCAGGTTGAGTAGTTGCAGCGCAGACCATCTGGCCCACAAAGACAAACGTATTTACTGTTGGGCCCCCTGCGTAAAAAGTTTGTCAATCTTGGGATGCCTGGATGGCTCAGTCACTTAAGTGTCCAACTCTTGAGCTCAGCTCAAGTCTTGATCTCAGGGCTGTGAGTTCAAGCCCCACGTTGGGCTCCAGGCTGGGTGTGGAGCCTGCTTTAAAAAAAAAAAAAAACGTTTCTCAATTTCTGCCCTGAAAGCATGGAAAGAACCAGTTCTGGGCACCTAGAATGTTCCAGGATTTCCCCCCAAACTACCTGAGGCTGTAAGTCAAAGAGCAAGTTTTATGGTTGTGGGAAAGTGAAGCTGGTTTGGACTTACAGTTCCAAGAAGGTGCTGGAATCATGGGTGGAGCCATGACTCACCTTGGGAGTTCCAGAATTTGGCCTTGGTTCTAGATTAAAAGAACCTGGGCTGATAGTGTTCTAGAATGGTGAACAGAGCTGTCTAGACTGGGGGTTTCGTAATCATGGGGTGAATAGAGCTTTCTACGATTCTAGCTCAGGGGGTGTTCTAGCACTGTGGACAGGGCTGTCTGATTCCAGAGTAATCAAAAAGTTCTAGAGTCGTGTTATACAATAGAATCATAATGTGAATGATGTGTAACTTTTTTTTAAAAAGATTTTATTTATTTTGAAAGAGAAAGAGTGCGTGCATGCTAGCAGGGGGAGGGGCAGAGGCAGAGGGAGAGAGAAAAATCCCAAGCAGGGGTGCCTGGGTGGCTCAGTTTGTTAAGCATCTGCCCTTGGCTCAGGTCATGATCTCAAGGTCCTGGGATCGAGCCCCACGTTGGGCTCCCTGCTTCTCCCTCCCCCTCTGTCGCTCCCCCTGCTTGTGCCTACTCTCTCTCTCAAATACACAAATAAAATCTTAAAAAAGAAAAAAAGAAAATCCTAAGCAGCCTCCCTGCTGAGCGTGGAGCTCGACACAGGGCTCGATCCCACGACCCTGAGATCATGACTTGAGCTGAAATCAAGAGTCAGATGTTCAAACAGCTGAGCCAGCCAGGCACCCCTGTGTGTAACTTTTAATTTCCTAGTTATCTGCTTTAAAAAATAAACATAGGGGTGCCTGACTGGCTCGGTCAGAGGACGTGCGACTCTTGACCTCGGGGTCATGATTTCGAGCCCCACTTTGGGTGTAGAGATTACTTAAAAAACAAAAACTTAAAAAAAAAAACAGGAAAAAGTAATAACATTTTAATGAACTCAATCTATATAAGGTGTCGTTTCCACATATAATCAATATCTTATAATTATTTTACCCTTTTTTCATACTAAATTTTTAAAATCTAGTGTGCATTTTCAGGTGCCACATTTCAGGTGCCCAATCCCCACACGTGCCTGGCTGCTAGCATATTGGATGGTGTGGTTCTAGAACCCGAGAGTGGAGTTCTGTTGTTCCAGAATCTTAGATCACGAAAGATAATGGGCAGAACAGGCTGTAGTTTAAATTTACTTCGAATCATCCAGAGCTGGGGCCTGTGCCTGCAGTTCTAACCCAAAAAAGCAACCACGCCTGGTTAGGACATTCTGGGAGAACTGGCTGGTTCTAGATTGCTCAGGGAATTACGGAGCTCGACGGCAGAGTTCTGTGTGGTTCTGGGCTAGGTCGGTGGAATTCTAGAACTATGTGCAGAGTAGTCCATTTCTGGACTACTCAGATCATTCTTAGACTCACTGGGGACAGCTGAGGTGTCCCGACTATTTGAGGATGTTCTAGAACCATAGGAAGAGCTACCCAATGCCATCATGATTAAGAAGTTACAGAATCACAGAGTGGGAAAATGTGGTTCTGGAGGGGTGCTGATTTCTAGACCCTGCAGAATTCTGTGGTTTGAGAGCTGTCAGGGAGCTCTAGAACCACAAATGGAAGCCATTTGGGGTTCTGGACGGTGTGAGTTTTAGACATGTGGGACGTTGTCTCTTCCTACTCTGATTGGGCAGTTCTACAACTATGGAGTAGAGTTGTCTCCAGTCCTGGGCTGACAAGGGAGAAATCTAGAACAGTGGGCAAGGCTAAATGGCTTCAGATTGATTCGGGGGATTCCAGAACCATTGAGTACAGGTGACTATGGTTTTATAATGTTGCTGGTTTTAGAAATGGGACTGCCTGGTTCTAGCCTGATGACAGAATTCTAGAAACACAAGGTGGAGGTGCCTGAAGGCTAGAGCGGTTTTTGGATCCTGCCGTGGTTCTAGACTCTCAGAGGGCTCCTGACACTGGGTCCTCTGCCCTGGAGTCCTTGAGCCGTGGACAGAGTTCAGCTGGCTCTAGACCAACAAGAGGCTGTGGATGTCTGTGGCTCCTGCTAATGGGATGGTTCTGGAACAGTGGGCGGATGTGTGTGGCTCAAGAGCACTAAGCCATGGGGTAGAACACTGTGCTTCCAGACCACTGAGGGAGCCAAGACCCAGGGCAGAGCCCGTGGGGTTGGACATGCGTGGCTCAGGGCTCCCAGGGGCTGACCCTCCTCCACTGTTGCCTTCAGTACCTGGTCCCTGTGACCATGAAGACCTCCTAGACGGTGTCATATTTGGGGCCAAATACTTGGGCTCCACCCAGCTGGTGTCCGAGCGGAACCCGCCCCCCAGCACACGCATGGCCCAGGCCCGGGAGGCGATGGACCGTGTCAAGGTGAAGCCAGGGCTGGGCAGGTGGGGTTCCCTGGGGCCAGTGGGCGGGTGGGTGGGTGGGCTGCCGGCCAGGTCCTCCAAGGCCCCTGGAGCCCAGCGCGGCAGAGGCTGGGTCTTCGTGGGCCTCCACCTCCCACCCACCCCCACAGGCCCCTGACGGGGAGACCCAGCCCATGACGGAAGTGGACCTCTTTGTGTCCACCAAGAGGGTCAAGGTTCTGACGGCCGACTCCCAGGTACGGGGCCAGGCCCGGCCTCCGGGGGGCGGGGGCCCCGCCCAGCGCCCGCACAGCCCACCCAGGCCTGGTCTCCCCCCTGCTCCAGGAGGCCATGATGGACCACGCCCTGCAGACCATCTCCTACATTGCTGACCTTGGCTGCGTGCTAGTGCTCATGGCCAGGCGGCGGCTGGCGCGGCGGCCGGCATCCCAGACCCACAGCCATAGGCTTTACAAGATGCTCTGCCACGTCTTCCACTCCGAGGACGTGAGCAGCCCCGCTCTGGGCGTCCCGGGGGAGAGGGGGACTCGGGCCGGCCCCACCCTCTTCCAGAGCCCACCTGGCCACACCGTCACCACAGCGTCCTTCCATTGGTCCTCGGCGCGGGCCGCTGTCTCCCTTCCCGCCCCCGAAGCCCCTGGTCCTTCCCGTAAGCCTTGGAGACTGGCAGCCGACCCCTGAACCTCCCCGCTCCGGGCCTGTCTCCCTCCCCTCCCCCTGCCCCCCATAGATTCCCCAAGACAGCGGCTGGTTTCCACAGTCCCCGAAGCCACAGGGCATCGCGCTGTCTCCTGGGAATCCTGCGCCCCGTGGGGGTGGGAGGGCTTGGCTCTGAGGACGCCGGAGGGTTTGGGGGACCTGAAGGAGGTGGGTGGGACACCCCCCCGAGAGATGCTGCCCATCGGCCTGCAGGCCCAGCTCATCGCTCAGGCCATCGGCCAGGCCTTCACTGTGGCCTACAGCCAGTTCCTTCGGGAAAGCGGCGTTGACCCCAACCAGGTGGGCGCCCAGCAGAGCCAGGGCGCCGCGGGCCCCGGCCACCTCCACAATGGGGACCTCGACCACTTCTCCAACAGCGAGAACTGCAGGGAGGTGAGCAAGCAGGCTGGTGGCCCCCGCCAGCCCCCCAACAGAGCAGCCCTCATGCCCCCCACCCCGTGTCCCCCTCCCAGGTGTGCATCGAGAAGCGCCGGGGCGAGGGCCTGGGCGTGGCCCTGGTGGAGTCGGGCTGGGGCTCTCTGCTGCCCACGGCTGTCATCGCCAACCTGCTGCATGGGGGTCCCGCCGAGCGCTCAGGGGCCCTCAGCATCGGGGACCGCCTCACTGCCATCAATGGGACCAGCCTGGTGGGGCTGCCCCTGGCCGCCTGCCAGGCCGCCGTCCGCGTGAGTCCCCTGCAGGGTAGCCGGGTGCCCTTCCCTGGCGCGGTCCAGAAGGCGCAGGGTAGAGCATGAAGTCCTACCTGCGCCGGTGTGCTCAAGGAGACGGAGCCTTGGAGAGGGGACGCTACTGGTCCGGGGGGGCCTTGATGGGGTGAGGGCAGGATTTGAACCCAGGCGGTCTAGCTGCAGGGTTGGGAGCCTTCCTCTCTGCCCCGAGGCAGCCAGTGTGTTCTTGAGTCTTGACCCTTGTTGCCAGCTGGGGAAACTGAGGCCCGGAGCAGGGAAGGACCTGGCCAGGTTAGAAGGGCAGGCCGGACATGGTCCACGCAGCATGTTACGTTTGAGTGTGGCAGACGCTGCTAGAAATGTGCTCTCGACAGGGAAATTGAGGCCACAGATAAGGAGGGGAGAGGTCACCGCTCCGACCCGAGGCCGCCCAGCTTGAGTCTGTGTTCTTAACTGCTTCTCAAGGGGTCTTCTAGAATCTAGAGCCTTGACTCTGAAGCTCCATTTCACGAGTGGGTAAACTGAGGCCCCAGGGGGCTGCAGTGTACCGAGAGGCCCCGCTAGGCCAACGGCCCGTGTCCTGCACAGGAGGTGAAGTCACAGACCTTGGTGACCCTCAGCATCATCCACTGCCCGCCGGTCACCACAGCCATCATCCGCCGGCCCCACGCCCGTGAACAGCTAGGCTTCTGCGTGGAGGACGGCATCGTGAGACCCCAGCCCCAGGACGGGGTCGGGGGGTGGGACTGGTGGCCCCGAGCACGGCCGCCTGAGCCGCCGCGGCCCCTCCCTGTCCCCTCCAGATCTGCAGTCTCCTCCGGGGCGGCATCGCAGAGCGCGGGGGTGTGCGTGTGGGGCATCGCATCATCGAGATCAACGGGCACAGCGTGGTGGCCACTCCGCACGCCCGCATCATCGAGCTGCTCACCGAGGCCCACACGGAGGTGTGTGGGCAGCGGGCGGGCGGGGGCGGGGGCCCTCCTGCCAGTGCGGGCCCGGCCCGAGCCGCCGGCCTTCTCTCTGGCCCCCCAGGTCCACATCAAAATGATGCCGGCCGCCACCTACCGCCTGCTCACCGGCCAGGAGCAGCCCGTGTACCTGTGACCAGCCACCAGCGCCCCCCTCCCTCCCTCCCTCCCTCCCTCTGCTGTGCCTTAGCCCCAGCAGCCCTGGGAGCCCGTCGCGGGGCCTCCAGGGCTTCTTGGCGCCGTGTTATTTTCTGATGTAAAACATTAAATGCTTAAAAAAAACGGGCAAAATCTTGGATCGAGGTCTGTGGGGTTGAGAGAGGAAAAATAGGACCGACTCTCACTCCGTGTGCTTCCCAGAAATCTCCAGAAGCCAGTGTTGTGAAAATACTCTATTTATTAAAGACTGGCAGAAGGAAGTGGGGTTCTAGGTTCTGAATGGGAAATCGAGTCCCAGCGCCAGTGGGGAGAAAGGAATATGGGTCAGCTGGCCACCTGGGAGGGGTCACAGGTCAGTAGCCGGACCCCAGTCATAGCCGTCCTCGTCAGAGGACTCCATATCTCGAGCTCGTGTAAACTTCTTCTTCAGGGCCTCCCGCCCGTAGGTCCTGGGGATCAGGAAACAGAGGGGAGGCTGTGGGCGGTGGGGAGGCTTGAACTACCCTTACCTGAGGCTGACTCTGCTAGGCACAATGGGTGTGGACAGCGATGAGCAGGACTGCTCATTTAGGGGTCAGGCCTCATTAACGAACTCCTACACATCCTTCAAAGCCCCATCTCATGTCCTCTCCTTCCGGAAGCTTTCCCAGTCTTCTGAGGAAGCGGGCCCTGACTACATGGGGTGGGATTGGCCCCTCTGCTTTCATCTCGCCCAGAAGGATGGGAGCACATTTAGACATAGCTTGGTTCTAGGTCCCTTCATCCCCTGAGCCTGAGTCCCAGGAAGAGGGCTGAGGGGCTCCAGTCTGGAGTACGGGGGCTCTTACCGCACGCTGTCCTGTCGCCGCTGACCGTGGTGGGGGTGGCTGTCTACCTAGGAGTGGGAGAAAGGAGGTCAGCACTTCCCCCAAAGTAAGATAAACTGGAATGAAGAGCACCCCTGTCCCAACTCCCCACCTTGGCCCAGGCAGTGCTGCCCACGGGTTCTCTCCTAGCCCCACACAGGTCTGCAACTCGTCTCTAATTTTTAGTGAGAAGATATCCTGGGATGGGGGGGAAGGCCTTGGCTGAGATCCCCTAGCCTCTCGGCAAAGGAGGAGTTGGGTTTCCCATCTGCAAAATTCCTGAGGGCTGTTCATAAATAAGTTCATATATGGAAAGTGCTCAGGATAGTGCCTGCCCCATAAGCAAGCTGCCATGGACACTTGAGCAGGTCGGGTACTGCACAACTCCTGGGAGCACATCAGAGATTTGTACATTTTCACATTTAACTAAAGAGGGCCTGGAGGAAGGGGTACCTTTGTCAAATTTATAGAAAGGCACTGTGGGGGCTGAGGCAGCCTCACAAAGAATAAATACTATATAAATACTTGTTTTTGGTAAACACCCAAGTCGTATGGGCTGGGACTTGGGTAAGCGCGTTGAGTTTAAACAACCACCTTGTGACGTCAAGATGTATCTATTCCATAAGGAAACACAGCGCTGGAAACATTTGTTTTAAGTTGTTCAGTGACCCATGCATTCAAATAGCCTAGGTCTGGGTCTGAGATACTGATCTCAGCAGAGAAGCTTCTGTTTGTTGATATCCTGGGGGGAAACAGGTTCACTGCACCGTGTGTCTCAGCCGCATCCCAAGACCCTTGCCAGGGCCACCCCCGTGCCCTGCTCACCTGGGCCCCTCGGGGACCGGAGGCTCTCCCATGATCCCGCGGGCTCTGGGGCTCATCCATGAGCACGGGCTCCGAGGACCGGGCCAGAGCTGGCGCCGGGGGACCCTCGTCCACGTCCGTGTGGGGCCCGCCCTCGCCGTCTGTGTAGCCCTCGCCATCTGTCTCGTAGTCGCTGTTGACCCGGCTGTCACAGCTCAGATCTGCAGAGCTGTCGGCCAGGCCGCGGTGAGGGAGCTCCAGGTTGTCCTCCGAGGAGTTGTCCAGCTGTGGGGCGGGGAGGCCAAGCTGAGCCAAGACCCCCGCCACCAAGCCAGGCCCTGCCTGATCTCAGACCAGATCCGCAACCCAGGACACCGGCCTTTGACCTCAGTCCCAAAACAGGTCAGGACCCTGACCTCAGGCCAAATCTTGACCGCGGACACGCCCCCAGCCCTGACCCGGTACCTGGTCCTCGGCCGTCCAGATGGGCCGGGTCTGCTGCTCGCGGATGATGGCCTTGAGCTCCTCGTACCAACTGTCACTCGTGCCACGCAGGGGGATGGTGGCTGTGGGGAGGGGGCATCAGCACGGCGGAGAGACTCGGCCCAGGCCCCACCGCCGGCCCCGGATCCCCAGCTCCCGGCCCACCCGTGAAGAGGTGTTCGCTGTGCTTCCGTAGCTTCTGGGCTTGCGTGTAGAGGCGGCGGGTGCTGCGGCGGGAGGCGGGCGCCAGCCACTGGCGTAGGGCCTTGAGGGCCGGGCGGCTCTCGGGGGCGCAGAAGACCACGATGGGGTAGTACTGCACGTAGTTGAGGCGTTCGACCGCTGACGGCGTCACGTCCAAGAGCGCGTGCTTGTTCTGGGCCCAGCCCGCAGTGGAGACGGGGGGGGGGGGGGGGGGTGGACAGACCGCAGAGACAGAGCAGGAGACGGGTCAAGAGGCAGGTGAAAGATCAGCTGATCAGAGATGCAGGTGAAGGGCCAAGGTCAAGGTGGACCCCAGCCTCGCACCGCGGGCCGGCATGTCGGAGGGGTGGGGGTGGTGGGGGAGGCTGGGATAGCCCAGGGCTCGCCGCTGTGTCCCTCCCAAGCCCCCACATCACAACACCTCCCCGAGGGGCGCCGTGGGAGTCCCTGCTGCGCAGCATGGGGCAAGAACAGGTCGGAGACCTGGGCCTTGGTTTCCCCACCCTTGAAACAGGACCCACAGCAGGGCCCTGCTTACTTTCTCCGCGATCATGCGCACGGTGTCCAGCTTGATGATCTTGGAGGGGCTATCTGTCCTCAACACACTGTCTGTGGAGGGGAGAGAGAACCCGGCAGCTTCAGAAGGGCATCCCCCTGGCCACTCAAATTCAAGCCTCCCTGCCCCTCCCCCGCTCAAGAACCCACCATGGCTCTCCATCGCCCTGCGAGCAATCCTAACAACAGCAGCAGCCCCCCTAGCCATATGCCTGACACTCACTGCACTCAGTCTCCCTGCTGACCGTGGCCTACACTGCTACTGACCCATCAGGCAGATGGGAGACAGCCTCAGGGACATAAGGTCACTGGCTCAGGGTCACAGAGCCAACACGGGGCAGGGTGAGGAGCCTCATTTGGAGTCTGTGTTCCAGACACTGGCTCTCCCAGACTTGACCCCAGCTCGAGGCCTTTGCTCAGACTGTGTCAAAGGAAGCTGCTCTCCCATCCCCCATCTGTCCTCTAGGACTTGAGATAGAGCACTGCTTCCTCTAGGAAGCCCTCTAGTGTAGCCAGGCAGCTGAAGGGGGAGACCCGCCCTGCCCGGGGGGGGCCTAAAAGGAATGGGGGAAACACAACCTTACCTGTTTTTTTATTGTTATAAAACGTGCATAACATAAAATGTACCACCTCAACCGTCCTTTAGCGCACAGCTCAGCGGCATGAAGCACCCTCACACGGTCCTGCGACCACCCCCACCCTCCGTCTCCAGAACGTTCCATCTCCCCACCCCCTGCCCCAGCCCTGGCTCCCACCCTCTCCTTTCTGTCTCTGTGGACGGGACTCCTCTGGGGACCTCCTGGGAGTGGGGTCCTGCGGGATGTGTCCTTCCGGGTCTGGCTCCTCTCACTGAGCCCAGTGTCGTCGGGGTCCCTCCGAGTCATGGCAGGTGTCAGGGTCCCTTCCTTTCTAAGGCTGGATCATGTTCCAGCGTGTGGATGGACCACACTGCGTTTATTCACTGGCCTTGGGTTGTGTCCATGGTTTGGCCGCTGTGGACGATGCTGCTGGGAACGTAGGGGGGCAGATCCCAGTGTGAGCCCTTGCCTTTACTTCTCTTGGGTGTAGATCCAGACACGGACTCGCTGGCTGGGTCAGGTGGTGACTCTGTGTTTAACTTTCTGAGGAGCTGCCAACTGTCCTCCCCAGTGGCTGCCCCCCGCCATTCCCCCAGCCGCGCAGGAGGCCTCCGATTCCCACATCCTCACGGACACTGGCTACGTTCTGTTTGCTTCGTTTGACACTATGGCCCTCTGAACCACACCCAGGGGCCTCCTCCTCCTCCCACCAAGTTCCTGTCCCACAGGCCCTGCGTCCCAGGGTGCTCTTGGAAAAGCCTCCGGAAAGCTGCTGAGCCCCCCGGGGCAGTGAGAAGGCCAAACGGACAAAGGGCCTCACCTCCTGAAACGCTCACACCTTACGTGGGCACGAACACGGTGCCTGGGAGCCCCAGCCGCAAGCCACCGTGCAGGACACATCCGCCGCCTTCCCTCACTCATCCCTCCCACCGAGGACAAGAGACCCCATTTGAGAGGCAAGGAAGGGAGGGCTCAGAGAGGGCAAGCGGCCAGCTCAGGGTCACCCAGCCACACGGAGTAGGAAGGAATTTAGGGACACTGACCCACTGGACTCCCTGGCACTGCCTCGAGCTGACAGATGCCCACCCAGAGGACCCTCCAGCAGCTAGATGAGACGTTGTACCTCCAAAAGCCCCTCCACCCTCCTCTGGGGGCTCCTAACCAAGATCTCGACCCCACGGGGCTTTGAGCTGAGGCTTTATTAAGTGCATCTGCTCTGCAAATAGTGCCCTCTGCTGGAAAGTAGCTACAGGCAATATGTAAATCAGTGGGTGTGGCTGTATCCCAATAAAACTTTATTTGTAGGTGCCGAGATTGGAAGTTCATTATCATTTTTACGGGTCACAGAATTTTTCTTTTAACATCTCTTCAACCATTTAAAACGTGTAACTACGGGGCGCCTGGGTGGCTCAGTGGGTTAAGTGTTCGACTTGTGATTTTGGCTCAGGTTGTGATCTGGGGGTTGTGAGATCGAGCCCCACATGGGGCTCCGCGCTCAGCGGGGAGTCTGCTGGAGGATTTTCTCTCTCACCCTCTGCCCCTCCCCACTCTCGCATGTGCACACACACACACACACTCTCTCTCTATATATAAAAATAAATAGATCTTTAAAAAAAAGTGTAAATACCATTCTTAGTTAGCAGGCTGTATAAAAACTTAGCTGATGGGCCAGATTTGGCCCAGGAGCTTTCATTTGCTGACCCCCTACTCCAGCTTGTTTCTGTAGTGGCTAATTTGGGGTCTCCTCAGGGCAATCATCTTGTTCAGTGCTGTGTCTGTAGCTCAATAAATATCTCTTCAACAAACAAAGGAACAGGTAGCACGTTGGCTGCCTGGCGAGGTGTGTTAAGACGGATTCTGAGGCTCTATCCAGATTAAGAGTGCCAAGACCAATTCAGGACATCTGGCCCCCGGCATTAGAGGGGTGCTGGTGACTCATGTGCCTCATGTTTCCACGGGCTGTTCTAACTCTTCCCACAAACAGCAGCAGCGGCAGCCTGGTCATCAAGCTGCTTTGGCCCCAGAGGTGGGGAAAGGGTTGTCAAATGACTCCCCCCGCCCCCGCCAACAAAGACCTGGGTTCTCACCTGCGATTTCGAACTGGTCAGGCATCTCAGCAGTCAACTTCTGCACCGCAATGTCTGCCACGGGCCCCAGGATCACCACCGGGCGCTTGAAGCTGGCTGAGGGGCAGAGAAACGGCAACAATCAAGGTCCCATTTGCAGCAAAGACTGCTAGATCTAACCAGGCCCATGGCCGCCCAGCTAAAGACTACATCTCCCAGCGTCCCCTGCAGGCAAGGACAGCCATGTGACTAGTCCTGGCCAATGGGGTACAAGCAGAGTTGATGCGTGCGGTTCTGCTTGTATCCTCCAGGAAAGGTAGGAGCCCTCTTCACCTTCTTGCCCCTTGCCCCTGGCTGGAATGTGGGTGTTGGCGTGCCATCTTGGACCACAGTAAGGCAGAAAAACAAGATGGGAGGGGACCACCCTTGGCTGTTACTTAAAAAAGGCATCTTGTCTGTGTCTGCAGGTGTCACATGGGGTCCGATAGAGCAGCTGAACCAGCCAACTCAGTGGTCAGCAAACTACAACCCGGGGGCCACATCCGGCCCACTGCCTGTTTTATAAATAAAGTTTTATTGGAACACAGTCACATCCACTCTTTTACGTACTGTCTCTGGCTGCCTTCCCGCAGAGCTGAGTCCTTCTGAAAGAAACTACCTGGCCCACAAAGACTAAAACAGTTTAGTGTTGGATGGATACACCATTTTAGCCATGAGGAAACGGGCGCAGAGGGCAGGAGGAAAGGGGGTATCTGCTCTTGTTCTCCTCTCCTGAACTCCAGGCCTCTCTCTCTCAAAAGCTCGATACATTCAGATTTCTAAACATTCTTTGGTCAAAATTAAGTTGGCGGCCTTTTATTTTTAAGTCTGTCTCAAAAAATAAAAAATAAATCTTTCTCCTCTCCTGGACGTTGGAGAGGCAACTTTGGAGCAGCTCAGCCCAATCCCATCCCTCCGGCAGGTTTTTTTTTTTTTTTAAAGGCCTCTGCACCTGCCGCGATTCTTTCTCCCCCGAGGCCGTGGGCGAGAGTTTGCTTCCCTTCTGGTTATCTGGATGGGGCCGTCTCCCCACCAGCCCAGTGCTCAGAGGATCTATGATCTATGTGCTGCTTTTGTGTGTATTTATAAATATTTGATTAATTTCTTAAGATTTTTAGCTTTTTAAAATTAATTGTTAAAAATATACATAACAAAATTTACTATTTCACTGTATATTTTAAGGGGTACAATTCAGTGGCATTTAGTACATTCACAGAGCTGTGCAGCCACCACCCCTAGTTTCAGAATATTCTCATCACCCTGAAAAGAAATTTGTCCCCATCAGAAGTCACCCCCTTGTCCCCTCCCCCAGCGCCCGGCCCCCACGAGCCCCCTTCCCGTCCGTGGATGAGCGTGTTCTGGACGTGTCACCCACGTGGACTCACACCCCGTGTGGCCTTCTGTGTCTGGTTCCCTCCCTGAGCGTCGTGGGCTCGGGGTCCGTCCCCGGGGCCACGCGTGTGGGCGCCTCACTCCCATTTGTGGCCTAGGGACGCTCCCGTGTGTTATATCCCTTCATCTGTTGATGAGCATTTGGGTTGTTTCCACATTTGGGCTGTTGTGAATCACACTGCTGTGAACACGCGTGTGCAGGTTTAGGTCTAACACCTGTTCACAGTATGCTTGCTCTCTCCCTCTCTCTCTCTCTCTGTGTCAAATAAGTGAATAAAATCTTAAAAAAATAATAAAATAAAATGTGGCTCGTCTGAACTAAGATGCCCTTTGAGTGCAAAATACACACCAGATTTCGAACACAGTGCACACACAAAAAAGGATGTGGAATATCTCACTGACAACTTATAATTGGATTATCTATTAAAATAATACTTTGGCTACATTAACAAGATAAATTATTTAAATTATCTTTAACCATTTCTTTTTCGAGATTCTATACGTCGTTTGCACATTTCAATTGGAAATAGAAATTAATTTTTAAGGAAAGAAGCCCTTTCCTGTTTCCTTACTTCGGCACCCTACAATAACCAAAAATGGGTATTTTTGGTGGGAGAAGAGAGGTATGGATGGGGGCTTCTGAAGGCTGATGTGGCTGAACACTTGGCCCAGAACTTCCAACAATCTTACGAGCCTCCCCAGCCAACCCCCCCGCCCCCGCCACCCCAGGGACTCACCCTCTCGAAGCACCACGCGTTCATACGGCGGGTAGTGACCCTGCCTGGTCAGAGCGGACAGGTCCTCGCGGCTCTGATGGGTGGTCTTCTTGGCCCCACGCCGAAGGCCCCGCAGCCGCCAGAACTCGGCCCGCGCGCTGGAGCCCGCCGAGGCACCCGGCCCGGCCCCCACGGCGCGCTGGGCCGCCTCCAGGCTGGCCAGCTGCTCCGCCCTGGGGAGAAGGCAGGGGACTGGTCACCGAGGGCGGCAGAAAAGCAGCCCAGAGACGGTGGGCAGCGAGGCCGTGCCCGTCTCCGGCGGGGAAGCCGCGGCCGAGGGGCGGCCCACCTGCTCTGGTTGGGGATGATGCCCCGCTCCTGCTCCCGGAGGTCGCGGCCCATGCGCACGGCCAGCCAGTGGCCCCCGCGGGCGCGGCTCTGCCCAGGGCCGGGGCACAGCGTGTCCAGCACGTGGAAGACGTCTCCGCGGGTGAAGCCCAGGCCCGATGGCGGACTGGCCTCCAGCTCGAAGTGCGTGCGGATGTAGAAGGAGTCGCCCACACGGGACTGCACCATTTTCCGGAAGACTGCGGACAGGGGAGGCTCCGTGAGCACCCAGGCCGCCGCCGGGCCCCGGCCCTCCTGGCCACACACACTCACTGTCCTGCTTCCGCTGTGTTACCAGCTCCACGTCCTCGCCCGGTGGCAGCCCCAGCAGGAACTGCACGGCCTCCTCCCGCGTCAGGTTCCGGAATGGCACGTCATTCACCTGCCGGGAGGGGGGCACGAGATGGGAGGAGGATGGCGGGGACGAGACACGGTGCCGCGCTTGCAGGGGCGAGGGGCTCGGAACAGGGAGGAGACTGAACATGGGTAAGATTGTAGAAGGAGTCTAAGGAGGTGCCGGTTGTGGAGGGAGGCAAGACTCGCCGGGAAGGCACGACCCGGCCGAGGCCGTGGCCCAGACGACGCGGTCAGGACACGGTGGGCGCAGCCGGGACACGAGCGACAAGATTATGATGCTGACACTGATAACAAGCACGAGTCCCGGACAAGGTCATCACTTGGGCAACGAGGTCATGACACCGATAACCGGGATGTGACACGGACAAGGTCGTGACCCAGACAAGCCGTGCCCCAGTCAGCAAGGTCGTGATCCAGCCAACAAGGTCATGACGCAGGCAGGGAGAGGCGTTAAAATGTGCAAATGCCCGTGGTGGCTGTGGGCAGCCCTCGGGGTGGGCACAGGGGAGGACACGCGGGCAGGGAAGACTCGGGTACCACACCCACCGCCCGCTGCCCCGGGTCACCTGCAGAATCTGATCTCCCTCCTGGATGCCCTGCCCGTCGGCCGGGCTGCCCTCCTGCACCCCCGACACGAAGATGCCCACGTCGTTGCCGCCGGCCAGCCGCAGCCCGATGGTGGTGCCCTTGGGGAAGCGGACCACCCTGGAGTCGGGGCTGTACCTGGGAGGCGAGGCAGAGGCGGGGTCAGGCCGGAGGGGGCGGGGAGGGGGCGTGCTGGGCGTCCTTGGGAGAGCCCCCACCCCCTCCGGGCCTCAGTTTCCCAAACAGCCCCACATGGCGGCCGCATCAGCACCCTGGTGCCGGAAGGCAGGACTGTGTGCTAGGGAGGCGGCCCCGGGATGTGCGGGCCTCGGGCCGGCGGGCTGTCTTTCTGGGGGACATACCCACGGTCCTCCACGCTCTGGCTGCTGGACACCCTGTAGATGTCATAGCTGCTTTGCCTCGGGGAGTCTGAAAGGGAACAGCAGTCTCTTTCCCAAGCCCACAGACTGGTCCAGCTGCCACGCCGCTGCCTGATGGCCTCCCTGCCCCGCGGTGCTGTCACCCAGCCCCCCATCCTCCCCAGGGAGCTGTCACTGACCTCTTAGGCCCATAACAGCCTCTGTAGCCCTGCCTGGCACAGCCTCACTGGCTGGGATCAGAAAAACCAGAGGGATGCTCAAGAGTCACCACCCTGGGCGCCTGGGTGGCTCAGTTGGTTAAGCGACTGCCTTCGGCTCAGGTCATGATCCCGGAGTCCCGGGATCGAGTCCCGCATCGGGCTCCCTGCTCAGCAGGAAGCCTGCTTCTCCCTCTGACTCTCCCCCCTCTCATGTGCTCTCTGTCTCTCTCATTCTCTCCGTCTCAAATAAA